AGTCACCAACTACGAGGCTCGTCCACAAAGTAAGTTTCCCTGGGGCCGCTTACAGAAACAAAACACAATTTCATGGAAATATTTATTGCAACAGATACAGCAAGTGTCCAGCTATTTTTCAACATATTCGCCACCGGAATTGAGACATTTGTCATACCGTGGGACCAACTTTTGAATACCTGGGTCGTAGAAGTCTGCCGCCTGGGATTGGAACCACTGTGTGACAACCATCTCCGCCTCTCTGTCATTCTCAAAACGCTGACGCTGACCGGACAGGAATTTCTTGAGGTGTAGGAAAAGATGGAAATGACTGGGAGCGAGGTCCGGGCTGTAGGGTCGATGATTAAACACCTCCCAGCTGAACTCCGGCAGGAGACTTGCTGTCCGTCGAGCCGTGTGCGGCCTAGCGTTATCACTGACCGCACTTCACAGTCGGCGGGAGCTGGAATAAGAACCTCCATCTTCAACAGCTGCAACGATGCTACTGTGAGAACGCGGGAAGTACCGTTAGTGCATGCGCCATGCTACGTCATTGCTCTATCACGTACGCACAGTCGCTTCGCACAATATAAGGTTTGCTAGCTGTGGGACGAGTGGGAAACTTACTTTGTGGACGCGCCTCGTAATTTAAGATTTTTTTATAAATGGTTAATGCTGTTCCATTCTCTGCCTCGTAGTGTCTGTGACTGTACGCATACTCTGGAAAACTGTGCAGATGCGATCATGGTGCGTTCACAATTACTTCTTCCTGAGGGGAAGTCTCAGAGAAAGATTTTATCCCAATAAACTAAAACGCTCGAAGGAACTAAAACACAATACTGAACAGACTGCTGCCAACAATGGTCTAGAAACACTTCGCAGAGTCATAAAACACTAAAAAGGGCGGAAGCTTGTCTTCAGGAGGTTGCAGACATTTTCAGCATCTGCTGTAAAGATGTTTTATAACTTTTTCCTAACAAATAAAAACTAAAAAATCAACTCGTTTGTCTTGTTATATTGATGTCGCCAGAATTTAAAAATGCAGTTGTAATTTGGGTTGTGTCTTAAATGTAAAACACTACATTTTTCGTTCCTCTACTTCCAGAAACACAGATCCGAATTTCAGTTAAACACTCCACTTTATTTGGTTGAAATATAAAACAGCGGTACGCTATAAGCTAACTGACAACCATCCGAAAGTTAACATTTGCTATAATTTGGACATATGGTGCCGTATAAAACATCGAACAGAAACGCGAATCTGCATGTCCGCTGTACATGTTCTGCAATGCATCTACTAAGGTCAGTACAGTACCTACAGGAACTTCGCATGCAGAAGGCATTCAACGATTGCTTTCACCTCAGTTCACTGATAAGGAGACCCGTGCTGACACACATTCTGTAATTATTTCCGTTCAATCTCGACCTATTAAAAGTGAAACGTAGCACGCCATAACCTCGACACCATACCCGGCTATGAATTTGGGTCGGAAGTCACAAGGCACATAAAAGTTAGTTCTTCATTCAACGGATGCTATGTTATTTTTTTAAAACTAAAGTGAAAATGACTTGCCTGTTTTCGATAATAAGTGCAACAGTGCTAATAAAGTAGTCCTTACCTTCATCATCAGGGCTACATCGCCCTGATGATGAAGGTAGCAAGGACCTCTGAAACGTCGGAAAACGTCTACCAGACTACACGGCGCAACAACCCAGAAGACACCCATCTTCGGACTCATCGCCGTGAAAACCTCATATCCTTTCAGAATTATTCCTCATTCCAAACTTCTCAGAGACCTCTTACGAGTCTCCCTGAATGGCGTGCGGGCTTGTAAACTGACTGGCAGACTAAACAAGAGAGTATTTGAAGCTGAAAGAAGCTGCATCACCGAATGATCTGAAAGTGTTTGCTGTATTGACATTCAATCTGATGGCAAAAACGGACAGATCAATTAAGTTAGTCTACGTCTGTTTATATGCACCTTTATAATTGCTAATACTTTCAACTAAGTTTTCGTCTAGCTGACAAACCAAATTATACATGAAGATTTCTGTCTTCTGGGTTGTTGCGCTCTGTAGTCTGGTCGATGTTTACCAACGTTTCAGATGTCATACTGCCTCCGTCATCAGGGCGAAATCTTCATACTCACCGCTGTGAAAACCACAAATCTTACAAATTATACATGTATCAATAACAGATATTAAACTGGAGTAATTTATTAGATGATATCATTCGACAAATCTTTAGAGACCTGGCAAAAATCCTTCAAAGGACACACTGATACATGCCATAAAATCCCATGAATATTGAATGTTATCTTTTGAAAAAATGTTGATCTGGTAAATATTTAATAAACTAGAAGGAACAATCCTGCACTAGGTCTATTTGTAGTATGAATAACTTTACAATAAACCGTTGCAGGTAACGTAAACTGAGATCAAGACAATTTAGGCATTCAAAATAGCAAGTTACTAAATCGTTTGGAGATGTGTATTCCATTGGAGTACACCTTCACGTGCTATGGCCTTCAAGGATTAACCAATCACTTTTCACATCTCCGTTGACGTGATATGTTTCGCAATCCGGATATAAGCCTGTCTAGCACGAGCGAAGTGACCTTGGGCTGGAAGCCGGACATCCTCACCGTGCATTTCCGCCATTTCCTGACCAACATCTGACGAACATTGGCGCAATGCTTCACAATACATTAAATCCTTTTGAAAAAAATATAAGCAACACATGGACTCGCAGATCAAACTGCAGGTTGATCTCTGGCAATTTAATAAAACTTGTTTCAGTGGGTCGAGTCTTGGTCCAAGATAGCTACAAAATTTGTCCAAGAAATCACTACGAATACAGACACACGAAATATTTGCAAAATACTGCTTGTCGGGTTTGTGTATGGTGGAAAATAAAAATTATTAAAGACGGTGGCCACAAATTATATGATCTTCATACCGAGTTTCAAGCAAAAATGCCTATTATTTTTAAAAATTACTTCTAAAGAACAAAGTGGTTCGCTAACAAACATTACAGGGCAATCCTACACCATAAGCCGGTGGCCGAAATTTCTAGCGCGTTTTATATTCAATATTTAACGAACAACACCAAAATTATTTGCAAATGTCTCTATTTCAACTAACATCTAGCTTATTCGAATGCAATAACACACCAAAATATTTACCGGTTGCCTTTACAACCTCTCACATCTTACCAGATTACAAGAACAATGCATACAAAGTTACTTTTAAGTATACAAATATAAAATCCAGACATCCACTTACAAGCCTCTCAGGAATATAGACACGTTGACTGACTGACTGACTGATTGATTGATTATCTGATTAGTAGACTATTGGCGATGCTTCATTGACTTCAGAGGTTGCGTAGTATTAGGTGTGATATGAATGACCATGAACGTTCATTACGAAAAATAAGAAACAACAAGCTTGACGTACTTGAATGTATTATTGTGGCACTCTCGTGGTAGTTAACGAAGATACCCAGCAGACTTCAGTCAACAGAAGTGTTTACCCGGTAACATTGGCCAACTAGCCGCTTTGTTACGGTAGTAATAGAGACATGTGCCACTCTGGCGCGCTGAGGAGCCAGGGTGGAGCTGAGTTGTGTCATGTCATTTATCTCGTTTTCTATCTCCCGTTTGATTTCCGGGCGAATATGGCTGCTTATAATTTAAAGAATCCGTGGTGCGTTAAGTCCATTAGGCTTGCAGCTGCTTTCCCCAAACACACGGACCCTGATGCAAACAAATCATAAGAAAAATGAAACATTCCATGTCCTAACAGCGGCACGAAGAAGGCTGTCTTCTGGGTTGTTGCGCAGTGTAGCCAGGCAGAAGTTTACCGACGTTTCAGAGGTGCTTACTGCTTCCATCACAGCGATGAGTGTTACATACGTACAAACTCACACACCAAAATTCCTGGAACATTCTCTTTTCTATAATCTGAAACTTTTCTTCCCTGGAGAGAATGAGTTTTAGACGTATCTTCATTCGGTCAAAGTTTGACAATGCAACCTTGGCGACACGGCCTGTCTAATAAATTCTAGCTCCAATAAAACTGACATCTAAATACAATAAAGATACATAAATGATGTTCATAGTATTATTTCTGCCAATAGAATGCATTCAAGGACACAGAAAGTAATGCAACTTTTTTTTATAAAGAATCAAGTGCATGACTGTTCTCTCGCGCTACGTCTTGAGATGCATTTACCAGTAAGAAGCTCGGCACTGTCTTACTTTGGTTCCCGGAAGCGAACGCCTACAACTGTTTATCGCGTCAGCTGCATGTCCATCGAATTCGGGGGAGGGGGGACTACAATAACAGTGTCCCAGTGGCTGCTCGTGGAAAGTATTTCAGGCACGTGATTCAGAAGACTAGTCGCAGAACGCTGTACATCGTATTCGTACTCGAAAATCCAACACCGAGAAAAATTCTCTGCAGTACACAGCAGTTCGACATGTCAAACTTCTCCACGTAAACGCACTGCTTCGCTTCGCCATTATGTCCTGGACCCGTGTTGGCCAAGTTATCATTCGCCCTTCCTTCTGGCACCGAAGCCAGGAATGTGTGGAGCTAAATCTCCACTTCCACGAATTTGTTCACTGTGTCGTGCTGAAGTAAGCACACGCACAACCTCCAATATATTTTGTCCAGCAATTAACGATGTTCCTAGTATCGCAAGATTAAATCGTTGCAGTTAGGCCTTAAGCCATTCTTTCACATCTTACACCATGATTATCAGATGCAATTCCAACAACCCTGGTCGATCTGCTCATTAAAATCTTCACGCAAGTTACAGAAGATAACATCCCATAAAAAGAATCATCGACAATACTTATCTGACATCTTCTCGTCCATTCGTACACGTTCCTTCGCCCGTGCAATCATAGTAATATTAAAATGACATTCTTCCATAACTTTCACTAGACTTCGCAAATATAGAAGCGCATGTCACTGCAACGTGTATCCAATTATCAAACGTGGAAATTACTCACATTTTCCTCCCTGGTTGATGCCGTCTCGCGCTTATCTCTGCCGTGGTATAAGCGGGGCTTGATGACGGTGTGTCGGGAGAAGTCTGGGGCCGGTCCTCTGCGGGCTGCAAAGACAGAGAACACGACTCAGGTTCAGGTTTATCTAAAAGATGGCTGCCTTCTGGACTGTTGCACTGTGGAAGTCTGACGACATTTCATAGCTCTGCTGCCTCTATCAGCAGGGTCCTGATGATGGATGCAAAAAGTCTGAAACGTCGGTAAACTACCAGACTACACCGAGTAACTCCCCAAAAGTCATCTTCATACTTGCCGCCGTGAGAACCTTAAATCTCTTGTTTATCTTGTACACTGTGACCTTCTGGGCTGTGAAGCCGTGCATCTTGTAGGCAACTACCAACGTTTCGGAGGATTTTCAACACCACGAACCATCACAGCCCAGAAGACCGCGACCGACGTCTTCACCTCCATTAGAACCTCATGTTTATCTTGCCTCTGGGTCCTCCAGTCTAATGCCTTCAAAAGAGTCCATCTACATATCCTCCCAAATCCTGATTTACCGAGAACTTTGAATACAGTTAAGAGAAAGACGAACAATAAAGGAGACACTAGTATGTCTGAGTGGAATTGTGTGCACCCAACGGGTCCATCGTCTGTCCCCCAGATGCTGAATGAATATGGAGCAGCGGATGAAATACACTGGCAGGGGAATCCCCAGAAAACTCGAAGATAAACCTGTCCCAGTGCCACATCGTTCACCACAAATCCCATGGGCCTGACCTGGATGCGACGCGTGGCCTGAAAAGCAGGCACCTACACGGGTCTTAACATTGTTACTTACTGAATTTCGTGTTGTCACATAAACAACCAACAATACAATTCAGAATAATTACGCTTAGACCCCATTTGTATCTGTGCTTTTAACGCGATCTGATACATTGAACAGTACTGTTTCTTACGAAAAGAGGATTATACTCGGACAATCATCACATTTTTTTTTGAAAGCAAGTGTGTGTCTGTACTCACCCTGCATTTTTTGTTCTGTAAAACATTATCCACTACAACTAGGCATGTGAAATGTTACGCAGTGATATATTTCAGATATATACCTATCTAAAAGTTTAAATACATTTATTTCGTGTGTACATTAATAATTACAACACTTTAACAACGTTAATCTCCAAGGCTTTATCAAGTCTTGTGCAGAACTTCCACCGACTACTTTGCTTTTCAGTGCTGCCATCCACACGCCCTTCGTCGCAGAGGAGTTGGAAAAGACGGCAACTTTATTGCTGCAGATCGACATGCGGACATTCTTTCGTGTTGCGAACTGGGCTTCGGTACGTGTTGCCCCGCAAATTACGCAATGGGTATGGGATAGGGGGCAGAGCCGCTCGGGGCGGTCGGACGCCAGCGTCAGTACACTGCAGTCTGTCGAGAATTTGGATGGTCGCCAACCTGCATGGCTTAGTCCGACATACCTCGCCAACACACATGTGCCAAAAAGAAATTTGAAGTCGCCATTTCAATTTCTCAGAATTCAAATTATCACTGACCACAATTTGAACAATTTACAATCTTTTCTTCTACGCGAGATGTAATTTGTAGCAAGACCAGGAACTTGCCTATCTTGTTAACAGACGTGAGACATCTCAATACCATATGATGCTTCACTGTAACATGCACGTCTCTGGAAAATATCACCGCTCCAACTAATGAAAAATCTTAACAGACAAGGAAGTTGGTGTATATGACATCATTCTATAAATTGTAAAGATTAATTTTATAAAACAGCCTATATTGTCGCCAGCCTTTAGTGAATACAGTCATCTTCAAAGCAACCGTCTTCAGACTTCTCATATATGCATTCTAACGTCTCTGCCATGCCTGCAAACACGTCTGACAATGATTTTCAGAGTTATTTCGGAACTGTTGCTCTGAATATTTTCAAGTTCCACAAAATGAAGCCCTTTGCAGAGACTTTCTTACTTTCGGGAACAAAGAAAAAGTCAGGCGACATAAATAAGGTGCTTATGGTTTAGGTTCCAGCAATGATGTTTGCATTTCTTAACAAAAACTCGCTTACGAAAACGCTGTGTGGGAGAACTGAGACAAAGAAAAATCCACTTGGCCGTCTGAAGATTATCTCCTCTTCTACAAATGTATAAATTATATTACAAAATTACTAAAACGCTTCCATTTTATGAACAAAATGTATTGACTTGAAATTTATCCGTCCTCCGGTGATATTCAAAATCACTCGCGTGTAACCTGTTGAGAGTAACCCAATTATCTGCAACATCTCAAAACACACTTTTCTAGAAACAAGCTACAAACAAAAGGAGGCACATTTGCTAGACAAGGACTCGGCAAACAAAGGATTAAATTAAATTATCTGGTAAATTTAAATGGAGCAGTAAAAGATTCACATACGTATATATGCCCCAATTACATACGCTGTCGTGGTCTGAAATATTTCAGTCAGTTCTGCCTTCCTGTGGGAGAACTAATATTGCTTAACGTAGGCCTATACTTCTCCTTTTAAACAAAGATTCTGCATTGTTTTCGAGATGATGGCTACAAATCACTAAAGCTGATGTCATGAACCTTCATAGTGTATTTGAAACGGGTTCCACCTGCTGTATGCGAAGCGGATATAAAGCGATTTGGAACGGAGAACCCTTCTTTAGAGGCACACTTGGGTATTCAAAAATTCTTTCCCACCTTTTATAAACCATAAGGTTTATTACTGTGTTCACACGGACCCTCCACCGAACCCTACCCGCAACCAGACGGATCCAGTCTTCGTCCTCACCACTACTTTAAGATCACCCTGATAACTGAGGCAGTAAGTACCTCTGAAACTCCGGTAAACTTCCATCACGTCACAAGACGAAACATCACATAAGGCAGTCATCTTCAATAAAGACACAGTTCTGCCGATTGTATCTGCTAGTTCTGTTGTGGAGTATAATGGTAAATTTATCTCTGTTTCTGTATTTTGAACGGTCAATTAAAAAAATCCGAATATGTTATAATTAGCGTAGAACGAATATTTCAGTCACCTCTAACTGAAACATCGATCCGAAGACTTCCTGACCCTTGGCCCACTTTATGAGTCGTGAGGTCATTTCAGCTGCAGAGGATTCCGTTACAAAAAGGAGCTGCAACGTGCAAACTGGCTAACAACCACTTCCTCCTCAAACCGCTTCCCATTCAGCTACCACTTGCCACAGCATCGAACTCCGCCAGGAAATGGAGAAAAAATAAGACGATATATGAGAAAAACACAAACAGCCGGAAAAGATGAGGCATGAGGCACAACTCAACTGAAGGCAGGAACACAAATAAATTAGCTAAACAAAGGGAAGGAAATGAGAAACAGTTTACAGAGAAATGAGTTCTGCAGATCACAAAGAGCGTCCAGATAAAACGAAAGAAATCCTGAAAAAGAAATGAACAAGAAAACAACAACAATAAAGAATTAAACCAGTAAGTTGTCTCAAGCTATAACGCTTCTTACTTGTATACTGGAGGTCCCCGGTTCGAATCACGGCCCAGAAACAGACTGTGCTGACTAAGCTCCAAAGTTAACTCTTTTAATTTCACCGTATGTGATCATCCCCTCATATATGATGTTTAGTAACATCTGCAGTTGACGCAGCGTTGTTAAATAACACACGGACCACCTAACAAAGTGTCACCAAACTAATTGGTGGCTGAAGGAAGAACGTGCATGCAGTTCGTAAGCCAATGTGTTCTGATGAAATAACAAACTGAAAAAAATCAAGTGGAGATTTGGTCCGAAATGGACATCACGGATTATCACTTTACAGAGGGTGACATGAACACATGTGACTGTTCGTAAATTTTTCATCTTTTACGACAAGAATCATTTGGAGAGAAGGCATGTCACGACACAAACGACTTATTCTAATGATTCGTTCTTGCAGTCTTGGATACTGTCACAAAGCATAAAATTGCCAGGCCCTTTAATTCCCTTTA